GTAACTTCACTGTATAAACTAATACCGTGCTAATACTAAGTATTATTTCAGCAGTTGTTACTAAAGCCTGATGCTGAACGCTAATTGGACATTGGTAACTTTAATCTGATTTCCGTCAAATAAACTGTCCCAGTAATACTACAGTATGTGTGGCTAGAGCGACGAAAAAAGAAATGACTTGGTTCAGTTGGTTACATTGCACGTTAATCTAATAATAACTGTTGTCAAAGATGTGAAATCGTGAGATCTCAATCTCAATAAATTGTCTGTTGACAAAATTGTCCAGTGACGACCCTAACAATTTACACATTTTATATGGGTGAGCTTTTCAACAAAGCTGATATGTAATACCAACTTGGTAACCTAAAACACGATACATATGAAGAATACTACTGTAATGGTGATTTTGATAAAGGTTAATAATAATAACAATAATAATAATAATAATAATAATAATAATAATAATAATAATAATAATAATAATAAAATGAGGATTACAAATGATGATTGATGTTGATGCTATGATAATAGTGATGATGATAGAGCAGATAAGTTCAGTCCTCTAAAGTGTTGGTAGCCAATGTATATATGTTTAAATCGTGCAGATTTTAAATCATGTTGTGTTTCAGCTAAAACAGGGTGAAATACAGATGTAATAGCCTATCGTGTTTTTGATGAGACGTTTAACCCGTACATGGTCTGGTATGCACCATGGTCCACTAATGTGATCCACTAAAAAGATTAGAGGATGTACTGCCTAATTCACTGACACATGAGCCCGAATTAAATTATTCGGATGTCTGTGGGTTACATTTCTCTTATATCACACAGGATAAATCTATCCAACGAAGATGGTGATGAAGATAATGATGATGATGATGGTGATGATGATGATGATGATGATGATGATGATGATGATGATGATGATAATGTTAATGTTGAGGATGTTATAGCCAGGTATGGGGCAATTATTGTTTTATCGAGCACCGTTTGATATAGTCCCCTAGGCGATATGACTGCCATGATCACTAAAATCTGATTTAAACAAATTGGTAATTGAAAAAAATTACTACGTAGACAATTTAAAAGGATGTTTGTACTATGGTGACTGCCTGAGAAATTAGTGACATGCAACACAAATTTCGGATTTACTGTGTAACTTGTAATTGAAACAGCCGCAGATCGAAAACAGGGAGCTACCAATAGTAGCTCGTATGGAGGTGTTTTGAATATCTTGATGTTTTAATGTTTCCAAATAATTCGAAAAATCACCACGTTTGATACCTTATATTAATGCTAAATCATTTCGATATAAAACAAAAAAAATTGAAAATATCATCCCCTCATTATTATTGATGCTTTTTTAGGCATCGGATGCGTTAATTTGTTTGACTGACAGGATGACCTGGTGAAATCGCAAGATCTCAATCTCAATAAATTGTCTGTTGACAATATTGTCCAGTGATGACCCTAACAATTTACCATTTTATATGGGTGAGCTTTTCAACAAAGTTGATATGTAATACCAACTTAGTAACCTAAAACACGATAGGTCTACTGTATATAATGTACCCACCTGTTACGTTGACGATAAAGGTACATTCATTCATATTCAAGTTAGCATCTGTAAAAGTATACGTCACTGTGTCAGTCCCAATACCAAACCCGTCGCCAGACATTGCTGTTTGCTGTGTCGTAAAGAAACCACTGTTATCCTCAGCTGTCGGCATCATCCATGTAATATTGGCGTAGTTCAGACCAGGCTCAGTGTTGTTGTGCACATTATCGGGGCAAAATGTAACTTCAGGATCTTCAAAATCTATGTTAATAAGAATAAAGCAATGTTTATGCTAATAAAAAACTGTGCTTTATGTTCATATTATTATTATTATTATTATTATTAATAATAATAATAATAATTTTCAAAAACAACACAACAGATCGTATCTTCATCATAGGCGAAGCCTGTATTTAATCCAATAAGTTATGGCCTTATAACGGCCCCAATAAGACATGTTTTGGCAGTCCACTACCATCGTCAGTTATCTATTGCACGCAAGCAACCATTAATATGGGGGGAGTAAAAATTCAATGTTATGCATGCTAAAAAATTGTGGAATGAACCGTAACAGTACTACAAAGCAAAGTATAAATAAAGATAAGGTAAAAACAGGGTGCAGTATTTATGCCACAAAGGGGAGAATAATTATTATTAATAATAATAATAATAATAATAATAATAATAATAATAATAATAATAATAATAATAATAATAATAATAATAATATTAATAAAAATGATATGACTGCCATGATCACTTAAATCCGATTTAAACAAATTGGTAATTGAAAAACTTACTTAGACAATTTAAAAGGATGTTTGTACTATGGTGACTGCCTGAGAAATTACATGCAACACAAATTTCTGATTTACTGTGTAACTTGTAATTGAAACAGCCGCAGATCGAAAACAGGGAGCTACCAATAGTAGCTCGTATGGAGGTGTTTTGAATACCTAAATTTACTTTAATTTTCACCAGTGATTTCACCTATGATTTCACACATACAATAACGAATAAAAAAATATTAGGCTAAAAATAATGAGAGATAAGATGTTTATCTATCATTTGATTACAAAAAAATATGAACAAACGTTATAACAATACAAGTTATAGCTATTAAATAGACGCCGGACCGATTTTAGCTTATGTGGACTATATTTGGCAGGTAATTATAAGGCTAAAATCGGTCAGGCGTACCGATTTTGGCCTCGGACCAAATTTTTCCTGACAGTCTTACACGTAAAATATTTTCTATTGAGATTAAAATCGTGATGTTAAAAATACTTTCTGCGATGAAAAGAAGAACTTGAAAAAATACATATACGTTACATATTGTAAGCTTATGTTAACCATAAATAAGAGAGCAGGAGCACTCACATTGGCTTAAACTGTATGTTGTAAAAAGTTACCTTGTGTCGTCTCATGTATTCGTGTTTTATTGCATATATGTATGTAGGGAAAGAAGTGGTGCTAAACAAATAAGAACAATAATACTGTATTAAAAGATGCGTAAATCTTGTCAAACACAAACTACAAGGCTACAAGCAGAGCATTTTTTCATCTAGGGAAAAAGATCTACGGATTGACAATTCGAGGTATTAAATCAACAGGTTCCGGAAATAAGATAGTATTCTATGCAAGGACATAATAACTGGGATCCGTAACAAGTCAGTGGCGGCGCCAGCGGGGAAGAGGACAGCAGGGGGCTTAAGCCCCCACCAGACAGGTAAAGTTCCCCACCCCCCAATCAGACAGAAAATATATCCTAAAGCCGCCACTGGACATACAGGTGGAGAGTAGAAAAAAGTGTTTTTGATACACGGTAATGTTGATGAGGCATCAACAGTTGCAGAGGCTATCATATCCACCATCAGTGCTATGGAAAGTGCTATGGTGTTCCAGCAGAGGCCTACAGGGCAGTAGGCTCAAAGGTTATCAAAAAGATAATGCTATCTTATAACGGATCTGGGAAGAGGAAACTATTCTCTATGAGCTCCGTAATGATAAAAAGACAAATGCGGAAACTATAAGTAACTATCTTACCACTTTTCATAGCTCAGAAAATCCTCGCTCATGACGTGGTCCGGTTACAATCCGTTTCACACCGGGTGTTGAGGACGCCCTTTTGGAAAGTAAATGCAGGTTCATTGTCAACGGCATGTTGACATGGTGGTCGAAGCACGACATATTAAGGGAAAGTGTGCCTCGAATGCCATAATATTTCACTAGCATGGACTTTATTTTGAATATCCTGTTCTGTGAACTACATGAAAATAGTCTGGCTGCTTCATGACATCATGTCTGCATTGGTTTAATTAAGCCAACAGGTAGTTCTTAGCAGAATACTGGTGCTAAGCAGGTTTGTATTCTTGCTTGCTGCTTTGCACTTAGTAAAGGAGTTGACTACCACATGACAAATAGACATAAACTGCATGATAAAAGTTAAGCCACAGGGCGGATCCAGACATTTTCAAACGGAGGGAGGGGGCACAGAATAGATAAGTAAGTGCACTTATTTCAATACAAGCATTAACATTTTAAAATTTAGTGGCAAAACAGGGGGTACGTGCCCCCCCCCCAATTGGATTCGCGCCTGAACCAAGTACGGCATGGTGGCCACCGAAACAAGTCGCACGCTGATTGCTCTCCATCTTTGCCTTTTCATGTGCTAAACTTAACAAGGGACTGTGCTATGTAATCAAAAGCAATTAGTCATAGCGGGCGACCGGCTGCATGATGGGCAATTACCAAGACTAAAGACCCTTACTGGCGTGCACTATCAATATAAATTACAAGCGCTGGTGGAGTGTTACTTCGTCCATCAAGTACATGGTGCTAGGGTTCAAAACAATTTTGGTCACTCATGTATTTTAACATTGCAACCACCACCTACCAAATGTGCAGACTGTATTGAAGCTAAACCTTGTCAGTCACTAACCTGGCAGGCCATGAGTCTACGAATTTGTCTACAACAGGTAACAAAACTCAAGCCCTACATTTTTGTGTAAAATGGAAAATTTAAGCCTTTGGCTGCTTTCTGTTTATTTAAATACATAATACACACGTATCTATGCACATCTTCAAGTTTGAAGAAGATTCTAGCACAGAAAGTGACCATGGTGCCGGCCAGGAAAACCTTGAGCAAAAACATAGGAGAACGGAAAAGAAAAAAAAAAGATGAAGAATGGAAGCTACGCTCAAGTGAAAATTCCTCTTCATAAAAAGTGTAATATATTGTTTGGACTGATGTGGCACAATTTTACATATCGTAAATCGTATTCTAAAATTTATATATAATATTTTTAAGCCTATATCATATAAATCTGTAAAAAAAAATAATAAATCAGAATCACCTGTGCAAGAGTGCACCTTGGTTTATCAGCATTTGTACAACTTTCACGTGACCGTTCCAAGCAGCAATATGTAATGCAGTCATACCTTCACCGTCCGCCTCATTGATTAGATTAAGACCAGTCGGGCAATCCAGAAGTCGGCGAAGTGTATTGAGGCGTCCAAATCTATAAAGTTGAAATTTATGTAATAAAGTTCCACTGTATTTATTTTATCTGCAGTACAGTTTTAAAAATGCCTAAGCAAGAATACATAATATTCGAACAGTTTTTTAGAAAGTGTCCCAAGGTAAACATTATTATCGTAGCAATCTAATAGCAATTTAAAATACAGCTTATATAACATTATTATCATCTGACTAAATATTTTAAATTGAGAACCTTATAATGCTTTTACTTAATTTAGAAAAGATATGGCTTATATCTCAAAACGATTATTATTTTTTATATAACTAGCAATTCTAATTAATATTACTATACTATAATTATGGCAACCAGAGTACAGTTCAAAATTCAAAAACATAATCATTATTATATTTATGATCAACATTAAACCATCATTTTCATCATTATCATCATCATAATTAATATAATCATTTCCATTATCATTAATATTATCACCATCATTATTATCATCAGCATCATGATCATCATTAACATCTTCATCATCTTCATCACCACCATGATCATTATCACCTTCGTTATCATTATCATCACCACCACCATCATCATCATCATCATAAGCATAATAATTATAAGGAAGACCACATTTTAAGCCTGCTGATAAAACGTGTCTGGTAATTTTGCTTGAATTTCACAGAACTTTACCGTGCCGCAAAATGTAATGGGGCCTGCTTGTCTCTGTTTTTAAGGTTTGCTGTTGCCCCCAACTTCAAAAGATGTTCAACACAACGGAAATTGCCATGCTGCGTGGCGTAATGCATCGGTGTGCACCCACGTTCATCGGCGTCGTTCAGCAGCTCCACGATCCGAGTCTGAAAACAATTATTTTACTTTAGGTTTTTTAAATTTCTAACTGGTAAACCCATCAAGACCTGTTTTGCAGGGCTGTGACGCACTATAGATTGTGCTGTTGTAACATTTTCGCTGTATATGACAGCAGAGGTAGTGCGTTAGATACAATAAAATATGGGACAGAACTTGTTAGATGATGACAGAACATACGACTAATGAAAAAGGTCTACTCTATTTACAAAAGGAAATTGGTTTCAATGCTAAGTGCAATTCAATTTTGAGTTTCCACAGGAATTTCATGATTCTATTATCATTTTTGTTTTTGGTTTTAACACTGATCCGCGCGTTAAACTGAGTTACCTTTTCATTTCTATTGTTGGGCGTAAAGGCTATCTTCGAAAAGTTCATGTTAAAGCAGAACTTTTTGTTGACATTGTTAACACGGTAAACAGTGGCGTAAGTTATTACATTGGTTTGTCGGCAAGGGTTCATTCATAATCCTATAATTGCTAAAGTATGGATAGCGTGGTCGTTTAACGCTGTGCAGTAAGGAATCGAAGGTCGCGAATTCGAATCGCGCCTCGGTGTTTTTTTTTTTAATGAACATGAGTGAGAGCTGTTTGACAAATTAAAAAGAAAAAGAAATATGTTAAATGTGCGATTCGTACTTGCGACCTTGGGTTCCTTACTACACAACGCTAACCGACCGCGCCATGCGACGTGTCCTATTAGTGGTAATGGCAGTGATATACAGTCCTTGCTGAAACACATGTTTTGTTTGTAAGAGTAGGGGGAACACGTGTCCTATTAGTGGTAATGGCAGTAATGTGCAATCCTTGCTGAAACACCTGTTTTGTTTTGTAAGAGTAGGGGGAACCCTGGGGTCCAGCTTAAAGAAAGGGTGATGAACGTTTTTTAGAAATCACTTCTAGTTTATGTGTACAAAATTTCCTGCACGTCCTTTCAAATCTGGCGACGCTGCACGCTTTTAAGTTCTTGGTAAAAACAAGAACAAGAACAAGAACAGTGAGGTTTGGGGTTAGCGTTTTGCGCACACCCACCAAAAACCACTCCATTTTTTTTAAATATCAGATAGAAACAACTCATTTATATGCAACCTATAGTTTGAATTATTCTCTACAGGTATAGTAATAGTTGTCTTCAATTGTACAGGTTAAACACAATAGGCAATCACTTTCACTTAATGAAAATACATTACAAAAAGTAATTCTGATGGATTGTCAAAAAGCAAAAATAATTCAAATAACGACCCTCAATTTGTGAGAGGTCTCTATTGAACATTGGTACAAAAATAAATTACAGTGATGCTTTGTTCGTGTTTTATTACAACCATTAATCTACTCTTTTCTATACTGAATGTATCTGTGTAATGCACGATTTTGATCACTGACATTTATTTTGCTCGTTGATGTTGTATATATTTAATCTAGCTCATTTATCATTAATTTATATTCAAAAATGGTTTTGCTTACAGAAAAATCTGAACGAATCAATTGCAAGCTAAACCCATTGTATACAGCATGATGCAGAAAATTTCTATCTCCAATGTCTCGTAATTGGTAATCAGCATTCATTGAAATGAGAGCATTAACGGTTCGCCAGGATCCTCTGGATGCCGCCAGCATAAGCGGTGTCCTGCCTTCGCAGTCTTTGATGTCGATCGACGCACCCTGCATAATAAACGGTATATACCAAATATATAAAAGGTAAACAAGGTGTAGTAAAGATCTCTTTACGAATATATTATACACATAGGCAAATAAAGATATAGTATTCAATATTATATATATATATATATATATATATATATACATACACATTTGTGTTGTGTGTGTGAATATATTATACACATAGGTAAATAAAGACTTTGTTGTTACCGCCCTTTATAATCCGGCCTAATTATACATATCATTTACGATTTATCTTAGTCACTGTTTTTTGTTTATCCCCTATTGCTAGTTTGTAAAGCTTTTTTAATCATACGTGTTATCGCTGAGGAAAAGCACAGGCGTGCTCGAAATATTCGAAATAAAAAATTATCTTATATCTATTATGTCAACGTATACGACTCTACTTTGTGCATTCATACTCATTTTATATATATATGTATATATGTATATATATAATGTATATATGTATATATAGTGTATATATGTATATATATGTATATATGTATATATATATATAATGTATATATGTTTATATACACTGTATATATATACATATACACTGTATATATACATTATATATTATATATATAATATATATAAATATATATATATATATATAAATATATAAGAACACACACACACCTACACACACATATATATATAGGCCTATATATATGTGGGTATGTGTGACAGTGTGTGTGTGTACTTCATAAGGCGTACATATTCGTTGTTGTTTGCTACAAATTTCGTGCAATTAGTACTACAAAAGCTGTGATCATCCTCTGCAGTGCTAGTCTGTACATACCTTCTTTAAAAGTAGCTTCACAATACCAATGTGATCAAACGCAGAAGCTCTAATAACACACATAGATGAGGAAAGAAGAAAAGAAATGGGCTAACAAAATATGAAATAAACTTTTAAAATAAAAAATATTCACGGCAAAACACAAAAATACACTATTACAGGATTTTTTGTTTTGGTTACAGACAATTATGCATTTTCTTAGAATCAATTACTATCTGTAACTGATTTAACGGAATATGTAAAAGTAAACATGTTTTACTTTTTTTTATGATTTTTTTTTTTGTGTTCTTCATTTAATGTAGGAAAAACATGTTTCAAGCTTTCAAGTACAAGTAAAATCCTATAAAACATTATTATATAAAACCATTTCTCAGATTATTTTGTTCATTATTAATCAATGGACGAAACGAAGATACAATTGGGCAGTAGGGTTTACAGTACATAGGCAATTAAAATGTGCAATAGTATTTTTTGCTTACACAATTTATCTTCAACACATACAACACATTTTGTCCTCTATCATATCTAACTATTATCTAATAATGCCATTTCCATCCTTCTATATTTCACTGGAAACGTCTTTCATCTGTAAAATTCGACATTAATAACCAATCCACTTTTTCTTTTGTAAATTCTTATGAGCTTACCTCAACACTAAGGTAGCTTTAATATAAACAATATAACATTTATTATGCCTATCAATGAAACATTGCTATAAACAAGGTACCACCAAATGGCATGAATCCCGCAGCTTTATATCATATGAAACGAAAAGTGCTTATTAAAAAAAAAAACACTTGATACAAAGACGCTATTATTGGATGTTGACATAATAGGCCACCATTCTATAGTCATAGAATAGAACTTGCTAATTGGTGACTGTAATTTCGTATAAACCTACGTCAACACCAAGCTAGCTTTCAACAATTATAATATTTATTATGCCTAATTACCCATGGTAATGGTAATTGTGGTTGTATTTATATAGCACCTTCCACGATCGAATCGTCTCTAGGCGCTCGAAAAAAATATGTGAATAAAATATGAAAATAAATTAAAGCAGAAAATAACTGAGCTAACCAAACAGTATAGCCGACAAAACAGACAGAAAATAGAATCGCACATCATCACACCGTTTCACCGATCGACTGAGGCGGGCCAGCTACCGTATTGATTTTACAGTGTCATAATGATGTGTGTAATTAACTATACACCCTACAGTAACCAACAAAAATGAGAAATGTGGACAAACAAATGTGAAAAAAAGAAGACTCAACCAAAAATACTTGTCTAAAAATAGTAATAAATTAATGCCAACTAACTAACGCTGAAGTAATACACATTGATGCAAAGTAAAATTTAACATCATCATAACTATAATAAATAGGAACACTTAGATTAACAAGCTCGTCACAAATTGTCAACACTTTTGACAGTGTAGGATCCACAAGCTGAAGAATAAAAAGAGCGTTCCGTAAAACGCCAGCGACATATATTTCCAAAGCTGTTTTTGTGGTAAAGTGCCACTACATTACATAACATTTAAACACCGGGACAGTGTCTACCATAGGAACTGAACCGGCTCGCAGTCTAATCTCTGTCATATTCTAGAAATATCATTCTTGAACCAAACACATCATTGTTAACGTTTACATTGAACTCCAGTTGTAATGGTACTGTGTTTTGATTTGTGTTATCAAATCCCATCCCCTTTGAGGCTACATCGGATGCTCTACTCATTAGGCAAAGTGCCAGTTATGTAATGGACGCTATCTCAAATTTTTAATGCACAATTTGACAGAGATTGCTTATTAACTGACAGAAAATAACTTATGAATTTGGCATTTATTGACTTTGGTAAACCAAAACTAAAACAAAGTTATCAGCAACTTCACCCAGAAATCGCATGCGAAAGCACTCAATTTATGTTAATTTGATTGAAATCCTTATCATTTTCTATACAATACCGTATTGTCTAAATTTAATTAACTGACTATTATAATATTTTAATGACATAGATTGACATTATAACAGGAACTGTTTTGTTCATCGCTCGTACCACAACTTTTTCTAAAACCAGTGGAATCATTCTGAACGGCACATTGACGTAATTGTTGTGTATTTCCTATTCCTGCCGTGAAAATGCATCTATACAATGATAATAGTTGCCATATTGTGAGAAAGACGTGATAGTCTGTCTGCGTCTACGTGGATACTTTGCAGAAATATTTATACTGCTCTCTAGTGCTATACCCCAGATAGCATTTATTAGCTATGTTAGCCCTTGACATGCCCCTTCCCCCGCCCCCAGTCAGAAATTATATTTTCTTAGATTTTAAAAAACAGTGGATTCAATGTTAAAGAATTAATCTCAACTTCTCTTGTAATATTATACCTACTCTCGGATACGCTGATGTAGTTTGGCACCCGAGATTAAATAAATCCAAACAAATTTCATAGAATGTATCTGGAAAAGAGCATGCAAGATTATTCTTGAGTCGTACGAAGAGGCTCTCAGTAATCTTAACCTTATTTGACTCTCTGACAGGAGGACATCTCGAAACTGTCTCAAGATTGCAAATAACCTACCAAAACGAATCATTCTTTTGACCTTATCCCCGAACCCGTTTTGAAAATCAAATTAGAAATCTTCGTAATAAGAATAATATTACCCAACTTAATTGTAAAACGAATCGTTTCTCAAATAGCCCAATTCCATCAAACTTAGCAAACATGACACGGTGAGGTGCCCTCTTTCTTATATTCACTCAGTTGCTCAAAATATTGGATGTAATTTTTTTTATGTTCACTTGTTTTTATTTATTTTCCTGTTTTATGATAAATATTTCTATTCCGTTTACCTAATTATTGGTGGTAATATATTGGATGTTATTATACCTTAATTATTTATTGTTTTTCGACATTTTAATATAGTTATTGCTGTTTTTAAACTGTTTTTAAATATTTTGTAAATAACATGCAATTTGGCCCTTGGCCACAATAATATTATGTTATCAGTTTCGAGAGATTTTGAATAAAAAGTGATATATTTTTTTATCTTTAATACTCAACATTCTTCATTCGTTTTTCATCATCTGATTTTCAACACTTATTCTTACCTGTGTAATGCTGTCATTCCCTCAATGTCTCTCATCTCCAATACTTGACACTCGTCGTCTTTGTCTAAAATCAGCTTCACGATTTCAACACAACCCTGCGAGCTTGCTAAGTGAAGTGCAGTTGACTGGTCTGACTGTTAAAGAAATACATACATACATCATAAATACAAACATACATGC